GTAATCGTTTTTCTTCTGTTGTTCTCAGTAATTCTACTTCTAACTCCTCTACTCTTACTTTCGGGGTACCTCAGGGTTCTATCCTTGGCCCTCTTCTATTTATACTCTATACTTCTGAACTACCTCGTATTATTAATAACTTTTCTTTCTCTAGTCAACTATATGCTGATGATTCTTACATTTATACTTCTTTTCCTCCATCTAATCTCAATAGTGTTCTTCATAATTTATCTCTATGTCTTTCTTCAATTATTGCTTGGTCTGACTCTATGTGTCTTAAACTTAATCCTTCTAAGTTTGAATTAATTTGTTTTAATAAATCTAAACACTCTATTACTATTCCTCCTATTATCTTACCTGATTCTAAAACTCTTGATGTCTCTCATAAGTTTCGTAGTCTAGGTTTTGTCTTTGATTCTACTATGTCTCTCTCTTCTCAGATTAATAGTGTTGCTAGAAGCTCTTACTTTCATCTACGTAGAATAAAAAACTTTTACCTTTTCTTGATGATCCTACTCTTCTCCTTCTTGTTACTTCATTAGTCTCATCTAGGATTGATTATTGTAACTCGCTCTACTATGGTCTTCCTGACTCTATACTCTATACTTTAAGTAAAGCTTTTAACTCTGCTGCTCGTCTAGTTGCTCGTGCCCCTTTCTTTTCTCATATATCTCCATATCTTGTTCTCTTGCACTGGCTATCTATAAAATATAGAATAATTTTTAAAATTTGCACGTTCATGTATAAGTCTCAATCTAAATTATTTCCTAAGTATTTATCAGATATATTAATTGAATCTAAACGCCCCGGTTTACGATCGTCTTCTCGCTTTTTCTTAACTCGTGTTAAACACTCTTTTGCCAAATCTGCTTTTGCTTTTTCTGGTCCTTTTCTCTGGAACTCTCTACCTACTTCTCTGACTACTTCTCCATCACTTGCGAAGTTCAGAGCGGATCTCAAGACCCATCTGCTTGCAAAATTCATTTAAGAGCCCTGTTGAACACCGCGGAAATAGCGCTTTATAAGCTAATTGATTGATTGATTGATCTATCAGAATAATAGTTTTTTTTATATAGC